TCAAGTAAAAAGCTACCACAAGGATGCAATACCAATTGTTCATACGTCCATTCATATATGTTATTATTTATTATTTTATAAAAAATATTATAGTTACTTTAAAATTATATATATATTTTGTAGACAATATTTCACTCTCTAATATCTTTCCTCTCGCTTCCAAATTTTACTCGCCTCTCTACTCTCTCGCTCACACTTTTTATGTATAATGTCATTAAAAAAAAGTCTAAATAGTGAGGGTTAATTTTACATACTATGGGGTTAAGAACCCTCGCAATGTGGTTGTTACAGAGGTTTCAACAACTCCCACCGTAAAATCTGCTACAATTAATTTAAGTTTTTGTCTGACCCCTGTAATCAATTAGCGGGGGTTAATTTTCAATCGTTTAAACCACCACAAATTGATTCTTAGGAAACTACTTCTGAAGTTCAGCGACCACAACCTCTAGTATATAGATTTAATACTTAAAAAATAATGAGGGTTGCAACCCCCACCATTCATAAAAATATAATTATTTTTCTACATATTTGTCATCAGTGAAACAATGCTCTTTGATCAAGGCCTAAAACTAATTAGCCATCAATAGTCTGAACAACCAAATTTTACAAAGAACAGAACATGTATGCATAACTAAGAAAAGTAACAGTACTGCCGCAAACAATTAAAAAAATTTAACATAGACCTTCACGTTACTAACATAAAATTGTTTGCATATCATTTTGCTGGAAGAGTTTAATTATGCCATATAGATGTATTCAACTCGATCAAAAGTACATTGATACTAACCCTACTAACCCGTTTAATTGTTAAACGCAATATTCACTCTAATCATTCTAACATCCCGTCCAACCATATAATTACATCACTGAAACTAATTATCTACGATTACAAGGAACTATAACGATTGATTTGTATAAAGTATTGTGGGTGATAATATATAGAGAAAAAAATGTACAATCAAAATTAAAAAAAATATATAGAACCAACCACTAGAAACGGAAGTTTGTATATACATAAATATGTATAAATATGTACAGTATAATAACAAAATTATTAATTCGTATACAAAAGTATAAATATATACAAATAAAGTTTATATAAATACATGAGATTCTTCATAGCAAATTTCATTAAACTATCACCATGGTTTATAATTATATGAGCTTATTGTTATATTAAATAATACACTAGTAATATTTGCTAATTCACGTAATTTACCCTTACTATATTACCTCATAATTAGAATTTTGTTCAAATTTGTATTTAAAATTATTATTTAAGTACTATAAATGATTTTAAATCATACAAAAACAAACTTTACTAGTAATTCTCGAAAAAAATAAAAAGCTACGAGGGTAAAGGTGTAATTTGAGGTGGGCGGCGAGAGGGGTTTTAGCTTCCGCAGACATGCTAATCTAGGGTTTTAGAATCATCAGGAGAGAATAGAGTGGAAGGGGATATGGATTCTTTTTCGTCGCCGCCAAGTGGAGCATCGTCCCAATTCTCGACGAATGACATAATGGACCAGGTCAAAACTCAGCTTGAACAGGCATACGCTGAGCAATTTCTCGAGGTTTGATCTGATATCTATTTTCATCTCCTTTTCTATGTCATGCATATTTGTTTTTTACATTCATCGCTATATTTTGAAACTGTGATACCGCGCTTTTACAAATTTGTCACCTGTTTTTGAGCAATTAGTTGCTGGGTAATTACTGATCTTATGTCCGAAAGATACTACCTTAACTAGCAAAATAAGATACTTTTGGTATTTAAGTCTTTCCTTGCTATAAGCTTTAATTATTCCTATGCATTTGGTTTTAGGATGCATCCAACACCTTTAATTTTTTTCTGCAGTATTCAGGACAGTGCTTCGTAAACCATCTGAATTGTATGCTAGGAAAGACCAGAGTCTATGCAGAGTTTGATTGTATGCTTTCCATGTACCAATTGTCTGCTTATGTCAAAATATTTTTGAATAAGTATACATATTTCCATTATTTTTTTCAAATAACAATTTCCAGTTTCCTTCATGAGCATATTACCATTTAGGAATGTTGTGTAATTTTGTGAATGTGCAAGATGATCCAATATCTTAGGATGACTGAAATCTGCATTACAATCTGTCAGTCCTAGTATTCCAAAAATATTTAACTTATTCTTCCCTTTGGTCCATTTGCACTTTTCTCCCTTTAATAATTAACTGTAAATATGGATTGCTACTACTTTATAATTTATACCTAGTCTTTCTTTTTTTTGGCCCTCCCTAGGAGCTCCCACCCCTTTTTGCTCCCTTGGTGACTCAAACTCGCAACCTTCGGGTTGGAAGTGAGGGACGCTTACCATCCGAGCAACTCCCTCTCATCAATTTATACCTAGTCGAACTAGTTTGGAGTCAGCTAAATGAAATTGTTGTTTTCATTTGGCTCATTTTGTTCATTTCAAGGTAAAATTGAGGTTCTCTAGACCAAAAAGTTCACTAAATCTCTCACTCTTTCACAAGTACCTTGTACCTCTCACCAACACATGAACTGGTGACTTTGTCTACCAAGGTTAAGTCAGATGATTAGAAATTACCTAGCTTAATTTGTCTCTTCTAGGATTTGAACCTAAGATCTCATGGTTCTCCCCCTCCCCACTTAATTGATCACTAAGTTAGTAGACACTTGACATGTCTTTTTTTCTTTTTAGTTTGCTTGGTTAAGTCAGCATTGATTTGCAGAAATTGTAGATTTTTTAGACCAACTTGTTGGGATTGAGGAATAGTAGGATTATACAAAATGCAATGGCTCACCCATCTTAGAATTCAGTTCTACCCTTATTCAGGTTTGATGAAAAGCACAGTTGTTCAATTAATCAATTGTTCCATTAATAAATCCTATCTTTTAACCAACTGTATGCACCTGACAGTAGATTTAATTGATAGGAGAGTGGGAAATCTGCAGTGGTTTGACTTCCCAGATCCACTTCCCTTTTGGATGAGGAAAATATAATGTGTCGTGGGTAACAATTCAATTTTCTTTTCTTAATAATTGCACAAGTCGGGTAGCATAGATATTTTGGGACCGAGGAAGTATGAATTAGCATTGTCTTGTCTTTAGGTACTTGAGCTAATATATAATTATGACAATATTGATTGATGGAACTGGCATTTGGTAGTTTCAAATTTTGGTCATCCATGACATCTTTTAAAATATCTCATCTGAGCAGATTTCTCGACAACACCAATAAAAAGTAAAATACAAATAAGAGTTATGGCATTCAATCTTATGATACAAGAAACTTAAGCCATGTGTAGCCTTTCGAGGTTCCTTTCATTATTTCAGCAGGGGAGGAATAGCTTCTCAAGCAATTAGTGACACCGTGAGAGATTAGTATTTTTCTTAATGAGAATCTGAAGCTGGCCAGTCAATTCATTTACCATACTCTTACCGTGTTGTACTCTGTAATCTCATATGACTTGTTACCATCCTAGTTTCTTTGATATTCCGATTTCACAATCAAGTCATTTGGTTTGTTAACTGTCATTTATTTGGTGAGACTGTTAAACTGTAGATGGCACTTCAATAACTGACATTATAGTTTGTTTCAAGTTAGTGCTTGGAACTTTGCCTGCAACCTTTATTTAAAGGTTTGCTTGTGTTCTTGATGTGGATACTTTTCTGCTTCACTGATAGATCTGCATTTTTCAATCATGGGTTTACTTCAGATTGGAATCACTTAACAATGGTACCTTGATTATTTGAATGCATCATACATAATTTGTTATGGACTGCTTGAAACATCTTCTGGAGAAGTAGATTGAGTTACTGTCATTGTATAAATAAGATGCTGCAACTTGTGATGTATGCAAGTTCAGCATGTTTTGGGTGGCTGTAAATCGTTGCAGAAGATAAAATACTAACCCTTCTTCAATTATCTCAGACGGTGAGGGACAAATGCTTTGACAAGTGTATCACCAAACCAGGGAGCAGTCTAAGTGGAAGTGAAGGTAGTTGCATCTCAAGGTGTGTTGATCGTTATATTGAGGCCACTGGTATAATTAGCAAAGCTCTCTTCAGTCAACGCTGAAACTGTAGTTGCATAGATCTCAAGGCTTGCTTGCTCGGTAAATGCTGGAATGCATCTCTTTAATTATTATTAACTTTTGATACCCTTTGTTATTTTCCAATGTTTTAAAGAAGGTTTTCTACAAGTATTTTGTAAACGATGTTCTTCATTAATACTTTTGTCTCTTGTGGATGGACAGCCAAATTGTTTATCTATAGCGTACTACCATTAAGGTTAACAAGGGCAATATTGCACTTTGCCCTATGGTATACGGAGTTGACATGCTTTCATGCATAAGTTCTTTAGTAGGTTTGAGGAAACCATGAGTGCATGCAGATGTCATAAAAGAAAAACTTAGGCCTCGGTACATGCTGTATAATTTCCTGCATCTGGAGCAAAGTGTTATCTGGGCCCTAATTATACTTGAGCGCACCTATTGGGAGTGTTTTATCTACATATTGTGTACTTAGTAGTTTATGTTTGGAAATAATTAGGATTAACCATACTGTGTACTAGTATAATACTTGGAAAGACCAACAAGGGTTGTGGTGGAGTGATAAATACTCCTTCATCCTTAACCAAGAGGTCTCGGGTTCGAGCCCCCTAGGGTACGGAGTTGCCTTTGTTAGGGAGTGCTTTACCCCCCGGCGCGAATTCGGATTTAGTTGAGGTTACGGGATACCGAGTGGGAAACCAAAAAAAAAAAAAAAAGCAGAACATAAATATATGTAGAAAATTATCAAAATTACAATGAATAGTATATGTATAAACTTGTAATTTTGAAAATACAACTGTTAAGAATTTTATAGGTTGAACCAATAGAATATATATCTTGATTCATCTTTGGTGAGGATCAACCACAACCCCATAGGATTCAACATGCTAATAGACTAGTCTCAACAATTGGTACTTGAAGTTTCAACACAATAGACTACAAGAAGCAGTTTGATTCAAGTACTGAACTGAGTGATAATGTAATGTGTTAATTTCGCTATAGAATTTCACACCTCCTCTGCGTGACAACAAATACAAGGAAAATTCTTATGAAAGAAAAACACAACAATCTGGCTGCATCATAACATAAAAGTTGCCAGGGTGGCTAAGTCATTTAAACGACTTGCAATGGTAGATTACTTTCTCAGTGTCTGTAATATGTATTCGGCATAAAGGTCCCTGCACGGAAGTAAAAACGCAAATGTTAAAATCTTTCAAAGACAACATTAATTAGCTCAAATTACTATATTATCAACGAGTGTATGTATGCATTCACAATTAATCCAGCACAAAAAGTACATCGAGTATTGGATGGCTTGGACAGCAGTGCTTGGAGGCAGAAACTCATTAACAGCAACCTCCTTGTTCTCAAGCTTCTTGTCTAGTGACAAATTAAGAAAATTTTACTTAAAGAGAATTTGCTAGAAATGAAGCAAATCAATTAATTTATGATGAGGGAGGATACAGTCTTCAAAAAAGCGGCGGATTTCTGCCAGACGGTGAGGAGCAAGCTGGTTAATATCAGTGTAGTGGCGATATTCTGGATCGTCAGCACACACTGCTATTATCTTATCATCCTTCTCTCCCTGGATTGATGAATTAGAAATTTAGTCCTTTTATCAGATAGGAAACAATAAAGTTTAACCTGCAGGCAGCGATATAGGGGAATTAACCTGATCAATCATAGGCATTAAACCTATGGCCCTAGCTCGAAGGAAACAGCCTGGGAGGACAGGCTCCTGTTGATGAAACAATTTCTCAATTCAATTGAACCGGATAAAATGCTATTAATTGTATTGTATGGGAAGGCAATCATGCATCCCATTACCTGCATGAGCACTAGTACATCCATGGGGTCATTATCTTCACATAAAGTCCGAGGAATGAAGCCATAGTTCTGGGGGTACACCATTGATGAGTAGAGGACGCGATCAACCTGAAAATAGATGGAGATTGAGTAGATATCGGAACACACAAGAGATTCACATTACTTAATTAGGAGTTTGAGGTCATGCCTTAATGAGACCAGTTTTCTTATCAAGCTCGTATTTGACTTTACTGCCTTTTGATATCTCAATGACCTGTAAGGATAATGCAATGCAGCCTGAGTTTAATCTGATAGGACTTGTTGTTTGTTAAATTAGGTCTTAGGCCTAACTCACACCCCAAAAGCTAGCTCAAAGGGAGGAGGATTGCCCAAGCCTTATAAGGAGTCCACCCATCTCATTAACCACCGATGTGGGACTTTTGTCATTCTTTAACATTGTTCCCAAGGAATCCTCCCATCATAATCAAGAGTAATTAATCAAAAAACAATTGTACTTACAACATTGAAAACATTTGGAGCTTCAGGTCCTACACAGCAACAGGGAATTAAGGAATGATGAGAATATGTAATGTACAATTGCGGCAATAGTGTTATGAATGAAAAGAGAAGGTACCTACCTATCTCGAGATCGTGCCAAGGGTGAGCGGCGACAGACCTCCTTGACAATGATGAGAGGATCCTCTCATTCAAACGAGGGGCGTGTCTTTGTTCATCACTCATTTTTACGTGCAAACTGACAACAACTTGTAGATAGATGAATATGAACAAACCATATATATATGTGATGATGGAGGAGAAATGGTGGGTGTATATAATAGCACAGAGCCCTAGGTATTAGGTGAAACAAGACAGCTTTCCACGCGACAAGGAAACTAGTAATATTGTTGTCCGATTCCTTTTCCTCAATATTGAAGGCCCTCCCTCCCTCCTTTTCCTGAATTTTCTAATTCACCTAACCTACAAACTAAAATGAATAATAAATAAACCAAACTCCACATCTTACATTTTAATTAATTGTCCAGGTCTATAACGCGTACACATGTTGACTTTTAGGATCTCTCTGCCCCCAAACCTATACATACAAACGTTTTTAAGTAGATAAAACAAGTATATGTCTACTTGTTTGCAAAAATGACTATAGTTGCTATAAAACCCTACTTATAATTATTTTGAACTATAGTGGTTAATCATAAATACATCACATGTTTGCCTTGTTGTGTAATATTTCCTAAAAAAATTTAAGTTTACTCGATTTGGACAACAGGTTGAACAGTCGCCTCTGAAGGCCTTGTGAAGGTTAAACATCATCCGTCTTCGTCTGATATTTAATATGGCTTGCAAAGGCAAAAGTTCAAATATTTTTGATTGATGCTAAAATTGATTGAACGATTATATCACACGTAATTAAACTGATCCTTTAAATGAGATAAATTTACAGGAAGTTGTAACTCAAAATTATTGCGACTTTTTATAAGTGGAGAGAGCGTGCAATGGTTGAGATTTCTATTCTTCAATAGAGAGGTTCATCTCTTAGATCCTCCCAAACAAACACATTATATCTAGTTTGTTGAATAATATTTTGTTTCCGTGTGATTCAATGTTCGATTTGTTAGACTTTCACTGCATATTCTATCTAATTTGAGTTTTTCCACCATTATACTTAATTTTAAAAACTTTTTTTATATAAGCATAGGTCAATTGATCAAATTTTTATCTTTAGCATGACGCCCTATTATTTCAATTCCAACACAATTTGAGGCAGTTCTTTTGATGGCATATTCAATTATTCTTCCCATTCCAAGTATTTTGTTTTACTTTTAGCAAATAGAAGAATATACGAAGCTCATATATAAATGTATATAAAAATAATTGGACTCAAAAAGAAAAGAGCAGGTTATTGTGACATGACATATATATAAGTGTTGTGTAAATATAAAAACTCAGGCTGAAGATGAAGAAATTGATGCTGCTGCTGCTTCTTCTTCATTAGGCGGTAATCCTCTATAATTCCACTCGTGTGCTTTCCATTCCGGAAGTTGCTGAATGGTCATCTGTACAAACTGATTACTGGTCAATAGACGAACAGTTGGAGATTAATTAAGACGTTATATAAAATTCGATCCATACGTACCATGCCTCTTGAATCAGGTTTACCAACTATTGCCTGACAAGCAAGCCTCCAATTCTTTGGATGCTGAAAATTATATATATACAAATTAACAGCAGTACTATATATATATATATATATATATATTCATGACTTGCTCGTATATATATTATACCCGTTTTAAATTTTCATTCTCCTTGTCTGTGCGAGGATTGAGTAGCTCCTTTCCTTCAACCACCTATAATTGATGTCGATGTTAGATATGCTAATCAAGTTTAATTTAGGGCAGTAAACCAAATGTTCACACTCACCTCAACCAAACATGTGGCACAAGTTCCTCCTCCCCCACAATTGAGCAAAGGTCTTGCCTTAAATATATAGGAGTAATAATTATATATATATATACATAAGTAACTGGATGAGATGATAAGAAATACTCTAGTACATACATAAGGTCCATACAACTCGACATTAGCATCGAGCATTATGTCTCTAAGTTTTTGGCCACCACATGCTTTCCTTAGCTGCACATCTGGTGTTCCATCTGGTAGGAATACTGACTGAACGAATTACGAGTACTTATTAATGGTAATGGGACTACTCATATATTAACTCATGATGAATTAGACTACTCACGCTGACAAAGGCAAACTTCACACAAGCCTCTTCCTCCTCATGTGCTACTGCTTCTCTCGATCTCTCACTACTTGCAACTGCTTTGATTTTTGTTCGGTTGAAACGCAGGCACCTCTGATGAACCTTGGAAATACACGATGATGATTGTGATAGAGTGGAAGCGGCTAAGCCCCCATACCAGTATATTTCAATTGCTTTCATTTTAATTTCTCCTACTGCTACTGCCACTGCCAGGGAGCTAGCTTCACAATATAAATGTTGTGGGTGGCTCTCCTTATCTTACTTATTATCCATTCCTGATGGATCCCAACCAACTATATATGGACCCAAACATCCAAGGCCCACTCACTATACAAACGTTTCCAGCCAGACATGTTGGCTTTTAGGATCTCTCTGCCCCCAAACCTATGACCCAACCTATACATACAAACGTTTTTAAGTAGAGTCTACTTTTTTCTTCTTCTTCTTAATGTAGAAAGAATGACTCTAAAACATAGGTTGGGTAACAATGACTCTGCTTTGTATATTTCATTCTCTCTACTGAAACTTAAACAATCAAAGGTTATATTAGTCTATTTTCAATGCATACGTGAAATTTTTAACAACACACATTTGAAGTTAGGATTGAAAAGAAAAAAAAAACTAAAGTGTGCATCAATCAGTCCTTTCTTTTGAAGAAATGTATAGGCTTTCTTAGTAGTAAATGTTTGTGCCATCTTCTCTTGATAAATGGTGTAGTTGAAAACAATTCAAGCAGACTAATGTTTCTTCTTCAATTTATGGCACTTGGACGAAAAGTTGGATTGGCATCTTGCACTTGAGAGTGTGTCTTAGGCATTCATCATATATTCAAAATAATTAAGGAATGAAGAGTCCAAAGACAGAGACACAAAGATTCGAAGGTACACGGGGAGATCCTCTTTCTGCAGTCAATCTACTTCTCTTCCAAATTTTTTTGCTTCTAATACAGGGATACATTACATGGAAATAGAAAAGGCACAACTAGTACACAAGCTCTTTCTTTTTAGGTTCAAGAATCGGAGGGTCAATGTCAATTCCCATATTTGCTGCAGTGCCAGCTATAATCCTCATTGCAGATTCAATCGTAGAACAATTAAGATCCGGCAGCTTCTCTTGAGCAATTATCTTCAATTGATCAATAGTTATTTTTCCCACTTTCTCCCTCTGTGGGTCCTTCGAGCCCTTTTCCACTCCTACAAAGTGATAAAATAATTAATCATACATACATATTTACATCTTTGGAAACTAACCAAAACTATCCAAACTTTTGTATGCACCACAACATATAACATCCAGGCTATAGCAAAGATAGAGTAACTGCACCATAAAAAGCTAAACTCCAGCACAAGTTCACATTCACATCTACAAGGTGTACTATTTTGATCGAACACCTGATTTCCAAATTGTGAAATTACACTTTTTATTGTGGGATAAGCAAAGATCTTATTCATCAAGATGATCAAGCACTAAGTCAGTGCTGGCATTTTCCCCTGAATAAAACAGGGGGTTTGACCCCATATACCAAAGAAGGGGGATAACAGCAGTATGCATAAACATCTAGTAGAACAAGCTAATGATTCTACTTTTTGAGCAAATTTATTTCACTCACTGTTATCTACTTTAAAAATTACCTTTCATGTTGTTATAATCAACTGTAACCCAAAAAACAGTGCTTATACAATAACGAAGGAGTTCATTTCATTAGTTTTATAGTTTGGTGAAGCAAGGACAGCATGCCCAAATAGTGTGATGCATTCTTATGATTCCCAATGGGATGGGTTACTTCAGTAATGATTTTGCCAATCCAAACACGAAATGTTTAAATCTACTGCTTAATTTGGATGAGCATAGAACTATAGTCTATGAGTAGAAAACCACAGTCAGAGCATATATATTTATGACGGGTCTCTGTCATTCTCCACCCAGAGAGAAAGAGAGTCAACTGTTTTTCTAATTCAGATTTCAATATTTCTTTTTTTTCTTTCTCCCTTTCTGCCCAACCATCTAGCAGAGCAACATGGAAAATAAAAAAAAAGGGAGTTTTCAGTTTAGTTTTTCGGTAATTTTACATGTCTACGTCCTACTACAAAAAATATCATGGAAGGAGGGAAAATCTTCATAAACAAGACTCTAAAGTATCCTGTTCTAATACCCAATTCAAGCCAAGATCGTTGGATAGTATATCGAGTTGTAGTCTTCACAGGCGTCTTTTGTTTAGAAAGTGCACAGTGAGGCGCTTAACTAATATCAGCCATGAACTAGTTCTAGTTCCTGATTCAAGCCAAGATCATGGGGTAGTATATCAAGTGGTTGTCTTCAAGGGTGTCTATTGTTTAGGAAGTGCATAGGGAGGTGCTTAACCCTTCATCTTCCTTGCTGTCATAAATTTTAATGTCTATAGACTAAAGACCTTTCTTTTATAAGTACTCTATAAGTCTATAGAGCTAAAGAGGATGTTATGAATTTCTTGATCTCAAACTGCAAGCAAATATTTATGGAATTCTGGGAGACAGGTCGGCTAGTTGCCCTTGTAAGAGACCCATGGGTCATATGTATCATACAGTTATGGTAACTGATGTTGGAACAACAAGCAAGGGTGTGGTAGTAATAGGCCAGGATATGATGTCCTCATCCAAAACTAGCTTGATATTGCACATTGATTCAGCACCAAGGTAGCCAACTCCAAACTCTGTGACCTTGAGCATCGTACATCAATCAGTAAATCAAATACATTCTTGTGTCGTTGATGTTCAAGCTAAATGGTATCTCTTCCACTAACTCTAAATGAATCATTTAGTTTTCCTGACTTGCCTCTAAACTAAACCTTCACATTTTTAGCAGTTAAAGGTAAAAATTCCAAATACCTGCAGCCTTGAGCAGCAAAACAGAAGCAGGTGGGGTCTTCAAGATAAAAGTGAAGCTTCTATCCTGGAAGAGAAGGAAGAAGCACAATGAGATACTAGTAAGACTTTAATCATGTTTGAATTAATTGACAATAAAAATGAAGAACTGACATCATAGACGGTGATTTCGACAGGAATAACATAACCAGCTTTGTCAGCAGTTCTGGCATTGTAATCCTTACAGAATGCCATGATGTTAACACCTTTGGAACCCAAGGCCGGACCCACGGGTGGAGCAGGGGTTGCCTTCCCTGCCTCGAGAGCTAACTTTATAATACCAGTGACTGTAACAAAATGCAACCCATCAGTAAAAAGATTGAAACCCCAAACTAAACAAGCAAAATGAAAATAATACCTTTCTTGGCTTTACCACCACCAGGCTTAGGGGGGGCCATGGAAATGACAGTGAGAGCCCTTGGAGCACAAGGAAGGGAACAAGTGTGGCTGTGGGTGTGAATGAACTGAACCGACACCCGTTGGACCCAAGACAACTTAAGGGATGAAGGTGAAAACGAGGAACAGAGTTTCCCTGGATGATTACAACTCGATAAAGACGCCATTTTTCTTTTCTTTTCTTTTCTTTCTTTTTTCTGATACAAGAAGAAGAAGAAAGAATAAGAAATCGGAACGAGAAAGAAGTGGATAACACTCGGCACCGTCTCCTATCTCTAGCCAGTTTCCTATTTGAGCCTCTGGGCTGGGTCTTATACAGGGCCCCATGATACTTTTGCACTACAACAACATACAAGGCCCAAGAAAGGGCTTAATTCAGAACCAAGTGCACAAACATATGTTTTTGGGCTTGTCACTTAACTAGTACCCATTTCATAATATTTTATGGGAATTTCATGCAAATGAGCTAATTACATCCTATCTCTATTCCTTTTTAAATTACACAAATTTCTTAAATTTGGTGGAATGCGTATACACCCAAAAGTGTCCCGATAGATCGTGTCCCAATTTCGGATACATCGCTTAACATTCTAATACATTGCGTCTCGATTTCAAATACATCATTCAACGTCTCGATACATCACTCAATGTCCTGATACATTGCGTACGTCTCGATACATCACGTAAAGTGATGTATCTGATTGATACATCATGTGAAGTGATGTATCCGATCGATACATCATATGAAGTGATGTATCCGACCGATACATCGCGTAAAGTGATGTATCCAAGAATAGGAGATAGTAGGATTTTTTGTGATTTTTTCAAATGGTTGATTTTTTTAGAGAATATGGTAAAATAAGTTGTGTATTTAGGTAATTGTTTTTGGCATTTTACATAAATCTCATATATTTGGTTAATTACATCTTATTTCAGAAGTTTCTCCAATTACAAAAATCTCAGATTTTTCATTACTCTCGGATACATTTCTGGGTTGTACGATACATTACAAATGATATATTACTTAATGGGAGAGATGTATCCAGAGGGGGGGATGTATCCTAGAGGGGATAAACATGTATCCGAGAGGAAATTTTTGTAATTTTTTTAAATGGTAAGAAATTTTAGAGATTATGATATCTTGAGTTGTGTATTTATGTAATTTTTCCTTCTTTTTTTTTGGAAAACTTTCAAAAATGACTATAGTTTATACTTAATTATAGAGATCCACAACTATAGTTCGCTAAATTGCAAATTATAGATATATGTTTGGGGGAAGAGAGAGGCAAGCGAGACTTTGAGAGGGGGGAGAGAGGCGAGCGACATCTTGAAGAGAGAGAGTTGAATACATGTTGTATCACGAATACAGTTGATACAACTGATTTGTATCAAAATGAATACAGTTGTATCAAAAACTATTGTATTTAGCTATATATTATGAGGAAATAGGCGAGCGAGATCGAGAGAGGAGGGGGCACTGGTAGGAGAGAGGAGAGAAAAATTTGATGTAAAACCCTACCTATAGTTGCGAACTGTAATTATTTTGAACTATAGTAGTTAATCATAAATTCATCACATGTTTGCCTTCTTGTGTAATTTTTCCTAAAAACAATTCGAGTTTACTCGATTTGGACAAAAGGTTGGACAGTCACCTCTGAAGGCCATGTGAAGGTCAAACATCACCCCTCTTCGTCTGATATTTAATATGGTTTGCAAATGCAGAAGTTCAAATATTTTTGACTGATGCTAAATTTGATTGAATGGTTATATCACACGTAATTAATCTAGTCTTGTTTAAATGAGATAAATTTACAGGAAGTTGTAACTCAAAACTATTGCTACTTTTTATAAGTGGAGAGAGCGTACAATAGTTCAGGCAATTGGTAGTTACTGACAATTTCTCTTCTTCAATAGAGAGATTCATCTCTTTGATCCTCTCAAACAAAACATTACAAGAAAGAACAGGATATCTAGTTTGTTGAATAATATTTTGTTTTTGTGTGATTCAATGTTCGATTTGTTGGGCTTTCACTGAATCACTGAATTTTCTATCTTATTTGAGTTGTTCCACCAATATACTTAATTTAAAATACTTTCATATTCAATTATTCTTCCCATTCCAAGTATTTTGTTTTACTTTTAGCAATAGAAGAATATATGAAACTCATATATAAATATAATATAAAAATAATTGGACTCAAAAAGAAAAGGGCAGGTTATTGTGACATGACATATATATAAGTCGTTGTGTAAAGACAAAAACTCAAGCTGAAGATGAAGAAATTGATGACACATATATAAGTTGTTGTGTAAAGACAAAAACTCAGGCTGAAGATGAAGAAATTGATGATGCTTCTTCTTCTTCTTCTTCTTTATTAGGCGGTAATCCTCGATAATTCCACTCGTGTACTTTTCATTTTGGAAGTTGCTGCATGGTCAACTAAAAATGCTTAAAAGTAAAAAACACCTAAAACTAAGTTAAGCTAAAGGGGCACCGACTCATTTCTAGAATCTTTGTTCAAATTTGACTTTAGGCCATTGATATGTTTGAGTGGATAATTATTTTATTCATAAATACTAGGAGAACTACTTTCTAGTAATATTTATTTAAAAATAGATGATATTGAAAATATAATTAAATAATAAAAAAATATTTTTTTAATAGTTTAATTTTTTTTAGATGAGATGGTTGTGATCATAATTAATTAAAGAAGTACAAAAAGAAAAGATGAAAACTTTATTTTTTATTTTTTATGTTTGTTGTTTAAAATTTGAAATTGTGGTGGTATTAAGCAGAGGGCATGAAGTCTCCTGTATTTGCAAACTTAGTCCCCACTGTGTTGTTTGAAAATCTAGTGCGTTCCCAATTTTAGCATGGTATGGTAATGATAGCGCGTGTGCTTCTGACTCTCATTTCAATTTGGAAAAAAAAAAACAAGTTTAGTTTATTTGTTTAGTGGATTGGAAAGGAAAAGGAAAATGGGTTTGAAGGTAGGAAGGTCACCACCTTACAAGGGCGCTAGATGGGTCTCTCTGCTCTGCATTGCGAGCTTCTGCTTAGGTGTTTTTGTTGTCAACAGGTACTATTTTACTACTGTGAGTGTGACAAGCGACATGTTCATGTCTTTTTACTAGTATAATATAGACAATAAAGCTGGGGCAAATTTATAGGTAAATTATGGGGCACCGACCTCTACAGATTTTATGTAGTATGCGTGAATTGAATGTCAGTATTGGTAATTAGCTGCAGACGCCATTGAATCAACATCTTACATAGTTTTGGCATTAAGAGTATTGCTACATAGTCGTATTCCATGTGTATTGTTAAAATTATATGTTAGTTTCTTGCAACATCTAGTATGCCTTTGACAACACGTTGAGTTACTTTTTCTTAGGTTATTGACAGTGCCTGGTTCTGTTAGAACAGTGAACGATGCTATATCTGTGGAACATATGTCACAGGAACTTCATCCTGTTCTTGAGTGCGAGAAAAAGGCAAGTCAGCTGGAATGTGACCTTTTTGGCCTCATAGTTACACAAAATAAGTAGATAAACTGATTCCTGGTGTGGTTGATGTTGATACAGGATACTTCTCTGGTAGCAGGAGATTTTCTCTTCAAAGTTTCTAAAACACACGATGTAATCATGTAACTTTCTGTGCCCTCCCTTCAATATACAGGTTCCAAGCTAGTGATTATATTCATTAAAAGGAGAATTAAGTTTTGAATCTCATCTTTGATTCTACGTAATAATCCAATATCATTGTGTTCACAAAACTTTTAGGGAATTGGACAAAGCCATTTCTTCTTTGGAAATGAAGCTCGCTGCTGCTAAAGCACAAAATGAAGAAATAGCTGTTGTTGGTAGGAAACCAATAATTGAGCCTTTGAATAACCGCCCTAAGGTTTTCTATGTAATGGGAATCATTACTGCTTTCAGCAGCAGAAAACGCAGGGATTCAATTAGGGAAACTTGGATGCCTCAAGGTTTGATTACCAAACGTGTATGGAAATTTTCTTAAACCAAGAAATATTGTTGGATAACATTGCTTTGATTAACCGTATAGGGGAGGATCTAAGAAAGTTGGAAAATGAGAAGGGCATTATCATACGGTTTGTAATAGGGCACAGGTAAATTGACATTGGAGATTGAATGATTCTTAGAAAGGATTTTTGTTATGCAGTCACTGTTCTCTTTTCATATTAATAATGTATTGTGATGATGTCCAGTGCAACCCCAGGTGGAGTCTTGGATCGTGCTATAGATGCTGAGGATGCACAACATAATGATTTTTTTTGACTGGTAAGTTTGTTGTTCTTAGTGCACGCCATGTACTCTTTATCTTATTCCATTTCATGCTTTCGTGTTTGTCTATTAGCAAGATAACTTGAGTTACATTTTACTGCCCCTTTCCAAAATAAGTTAACAGCGAACCTTTCAATTGTGTAAATATGAAAATGACAATCTTTCACCTTCCTGGAAAAAAAAATGTATGGCATTGACATCTACTGTTTATACATTCTTGTAATAGTTTATGCATTTATTAATGAATATGCTTAACATGTATGAGTGTCTCTATATATATGGCTGTAAAAAGAGATGTCCATTGATCTAGCATGCAGTTAATGTTTATCATAAAACACTCTTCTCACTGATAAAAAAAAAAAAAAAACAGTACACATTTTTTTCTTTATCTTCTGTCCTCCTGTGTCCTTTGCCCATCTGTATGCATGATCTTCACAATGGAATATGTCTTACTACTTTCAAGTCTATCATCTACAATATGCCATTAAGGTTTTAAGTTTAATCAAGATAGAAGAGAGAACAATAGTGTGCCATAACTCTTTAGTTGGATTTTGTTGACTGAGCATTTTACTACATGATAAAGACATCTTGCCTTGCAGAATCATGTGGAGGGATATCATGAGCTGTCCTCTAAGACTCAAATATACTTTTCAACTGCAGCAGCAAAATGGGATGCTGACTTCTTTATTAAAGTTGACGATGATGTGCGTGTCAATCTGGGTTAGTACAAGCTCATTCAAACTCCTTTTATCTGAATGCTGAGCAATAGTGAGTCCACACTAATTAGGAGAGTACAACAAGAACTACACAAGATTGAGCTAATTCATACTGCCTATAAGATGTTTCATTATCCATGTTGCTCCATTTAAGCATGCTCGATCCAATATTTATAAATTTAGGTTCTCTACATTTCTACTTGCATTTAATTCTCTATTAAAGATTTGAGTCCTAGCAAATATTGGACCTAAGTAGACGTACAAATATGACTAGAACTTATTTGCAGCTAAATTAGTATTGCCTGTGTATGTTGCTCACAGTGCTAGTCCCTTGCACAGATAAAAGAGGAGAATTATTGTAGGTCTATATTAAGCATTAAGCTAGTCAATTAATAATGCATCCTCCCAACACTAAGTAGGAGAGGGATGAATATGTACTAATTCCATATTTTGTCACAGGTGTTGTAGGTTCATTGTTAGACCGTCATCGATCTAAACCTTGTGTGTACGTGGGTTGCATGAAATCTGGACCCGTTCTTTCACAGAAGTAAGATTCTAGACCCATAATGAGCTTCTACAGTTGTACTTCAAGGTTCAAAATTTTCAAGTATGACATACTTTTTGTGCAGAGGAGTGAAGTACCATGAACCCGAATACTGAAAATTTGGTGAGGAGGGAAATAAGTATTTTAGGCATGCAACTGGACAAATATATGCGATCTCCAAGGATTTGGCTACCTACATATCAATCAATGGGTACACCTCTCTCTTGATAGATTTTTTCTCAAGGTTTCTGTTTATTGCATATCCATGTGCTTTACTTGTGACATGTACTATTTATTCATAAAGAATTTGTGGTCAGACACATTCTACATAGGTATGCAAATGAAGATGTTTCTCTTGGTTTTTGGTTTATTGGGCTTGATGTTGAACATATTGATGAACGGGAGTTTGTGCTGTGGAACACCTCCAGGTAAGATTTACTCGAATACTCTATGTGATGTACTGGTTTCTGGTACGAGAGTTGATGATTGTTGACATTGCTAGTCTATAACTCAAACAAGTTGTTAATAATTTAGTGTAGCCAAGTAGTCCTTAGGTATATATTATGGCATGAAAATTCCAACACAGAATTTTACTCATTTGATTATTTGGCCTCTTAATTGAAAGATTGCGAGTGGAAGGCCCAAGCTGGGAACATTTGTGCTGCATCGTTCGATTGGAACTGTAGTGGAAGTTGTAAATCAGTGGAAAGGATGGAAGAGGTCCACCAGCGATGTGGAGAGGGAAATGGAGCAATATGGCGTACTAGTTTCTGAAAATTTATGATCATATGCATTGTGCAGTTCAATTCTTTTCGTTGTTACTCCAATCGTAGGGATGTGATGGCCCAATTTTTGACTTGAAATACTAACTTAATTGGAAGTTTATTAGTTGGGCAGAAAATTGATGTTCCAAAGCTGGTGAAGGGCGAAATATGTTACTACCGTTAATTGATTGATGATAAAATTGAGTGGACGGAATATGCATGTTCAACATGTTAGTGAAAGGGATGGAAATTAAATTGCAATAATTATTAGGTTGCAAAATTTGCTATGATTGAAGTGAAAATGATGAATGACATGTTTATGGATCCACACTGCATTAGAAGAAGAAAATGGGTCCATGTAGATTACTCCAATAATTGTACATGTAATTGTCGTGTCCAAATAACAAACAAGACTATTTACCACATGCGCCGACCACTGTTTCCATGTTGTCAAGAGTTAGGTTTGGTCGGAGATAAACCATGTTAATTTGTCAACTTGGTTTCCTTTTGAATTTGACCTTAAACCATGTTAAAAGTTTCATCCAAACTCTTTAATCTTCTATCCACATTTAATTAATACTCATATACAATAGTAGTTGTATTTTTTTTTATCTCTAAACTCTATCACTTGCAAAATATAAATTTCCACTATTTTATGTTGCCTCTTCTGAATTCCTACAAATTATCACTCAAGCTTGTCCACAAGCTTCCCTCTGCTTATACACATCTTCCTCATGTATAAAAATAAATCCAATAAGGGTGATATATTATTCACTTCCAAAAAGAAACGTTTTTAATTTATGAAAAAAGAAAAAACCTTTTTTGATTGTGTTGGTGCGCATACTAATGAAAACACTATTCGATTTGCTTATCTCTAGGGACTTTACTTATGAAGAAGAGACCCACGATCACTAAACATCCAAATTGTGTTAAACGTGAGAATTTTGTGGTAACACTATTTCTCACTCTTTTATGATAAGGACTCACCATTCACCAACCTACCAATAGTATAGAGAAAAATAAAAACAAAAACGAAGCCAATTGAGTTGACATCACTGGTTAGGAATATGCGAGTAAGGTGAGATATTTTAAAATTAAATATTTTATCATAAACTTAATCATGAGATATTTCACCTTATGTAATTCAACTTGAAATTATTTTATTATAATCTTTATGTATACTAATCCGGAATCCCAATGCCAAATAGTAATTTTCCATAAAGTAGGAATGATATTAGTGGTACAAAGTTGATGGTCAAAAGACAAATAAAAGAGAAAAGAGCCTTAGTCAAATGGTTTGAACGAGAGATGTAAACGCGGTGATACTACTACTCCAAGACTTGACTTTTAAGTATTTAACCAACCCCATACTCCTATGTCAAACAAAACCTGAATACACACATTTTTTTTCCAACACAAACTTAAATAATAAAACTTATATAAGCACCACTTGTTTTTCTAATAAAAAATATCACAATATAAAATTACAATTCATCACTTTGTATTCCGGGCTATTTGAAAAGCACAACCACCAGAAGCAATTGTTATTCCCTGGTCGAACATAAAAACTAAAATCCTGAGGAGCAAAAATGAAAAGAGGCCCTACCAGCAATCGGCTAACACGTTTCTCTACCTCTACATCCTTATCCTCTTTTCCCTAAATCTATTCCTTTTATCTTCCATTTATTTAAGTAAAAAATATAACTCTTTCTTTCCTGCTATCTATCTATCTTTAGGGTTGTTTTTATTTATCTTTATCTTTCTCTATCTTCTTCTTCTTCGTCTTCTTTTTTTTTTTTTTTTTTGAAACCCTCGACTCTTCGCCGTGCTGAAAGTTTATATACCTTTTTAACGATTGAATCGGGGGTTGTTTCTTCTTTTTTATTATGGGTTTGGTAGCGGCTTTGCTTGAGATTTTACAAAGACCAACTTTTGGGGAGGTAATATTAGAGCTGGGGATGTTTATGGCACCCATCTGGATTGCTGTTCTTGTTGGGGTCTTGGTTGGATGGTCATGGAAGCCCAAGTGGGCTAATCTTGCCATTGATTCTGTACCTACAACACATGTTCCTGCTCTCCAAAACCTGTCTTTTGGCTTTTCAACTCTCAAATTGCAAGTTCCCTCTTGGATCAAGGAAACTCACTCCCCGCCCTCCATTTCATCCTCTACCTCCAGGTTTGTTCCAAAGTCTTGCTCATATTCTCCTTTACATAGATGTTACCTATTTTTGAAAACTAATTTAAAACAACACGATCCGCTAACATGCAGTTGAGGATAAAACATTTGGCTATTTTTATAAAAGAAATTGGGTTACTTATGAAAATCTTTATAAAAATGAATAGATATTAATTTGTACTAAATTTAGAAGTTGAATTTTTTTAAAACTTAATAATCTATATATCCGAGTTAAAGATATTGAATCAAATGGTTAGTTCAAATTCATTAACGTGGATTAAAACTTTTTAATAACTATGAAAGAACATGAAGTTATTCTACAAGCTTAAGTTTGCCTTAACTAAAATGGGTTTTGAAAATTGAAGTACTTGTAACAAAATAGTGAAAGAAAGGTCATTAAAAATCTCCCGGGAATTCATCTAAGTTAGATAAAAAGTTGAGTAATCACAGTAAACAATGAGTCCCTTTGGGACTGCCGCTACCTGTTTCAGCTGCTGCTGGTTTTTGAGTTTTAACCCAATAATATTTGCTTCCCTTTCGCGACTTGGTGGTGGTTGACTCGAAGAGAGGAATATGCAAGAGATGGTGGAGTCCAATGGACTCAAATGGGAGAGTGCATGCAAAGAAAACAAAGAAAAAGAATTAGTAACTAATCAAGAAGGGAGCTGAGACGAATTTAACATGTAAACAAACTCAAACAACATTTAATAATGCAAATTAAGTCTGCCAACGTAAAGAGGGAAAAAAGGAAACAAGGAGTACAACTTCCAATCCTAATACATTTGCCTCATATGCAAAAATAGAAGTCAACATAATCGCAATTTTAATCAGCAAATAAGTGTGGAAGGCATAGTTAAAAGCATTCTTGCACCAACTTTAACCAACAAGAGCTATATCATTTGGGAGTCGTTTGGTTGGAAGCTTCTAGGCATCCTCGAGCTCGTGCTAAGCACGCGGAGTGTACGAATTGAAGGAGAAAAGGGGACATTGAGGTGGCGAAATGAGGATTTAGGGCTGGGTTCGTCTGGTTGAGCGTTGTTGGCGCGTGTTGTGAGCGAGAAGAAAGAGTGAGGGGTCTGGGTTGAATTGGAGTTTGGCTGGGTGTTTCATAATGGGCCAAATGTATGGTCTTAAAAGGAAGAAAGAAAGGAGCAGGTTGTTTGGTTTCTATATTTTATCAAATCAAACTTAGATTCAATATTAAACCGAATTTGATAAAGCGGGAAGGAGATAAATCATAAATTTAACTAATTATTTAAGCTTCTTAACTTCAACAAGATAAAAATAATTATTTTGAAATAAAAGATCAACTATACCAATCAAATCACAAATTAGTTTATGGAAATAAAACACACACTAAAACACAATTTTGGTAAAACAAATTTTCCTAATCTTTATTAAAAGTAGCAAGTATATGAATATGTATTTTATAGGGAAATGGCAACATGGCCTTGAAAATGATTTCAAAAGTATTTTTTATTTTCGAAAACAATTATTTCAAATTGTTTGAAATTGAAGAAGCTCGAAAATTAATTAAATTGTGGAGGGTCAAAATTGGGTGTCAACAGTAGATACACAAATCCTTGACACCAATAATTATTTAATCTGCTGTTATCAGTTCATTGCAGCTGGAAGCCAAAAAATCAGTAGTAACTGATGCAGACCTTTGTTACTTAGACGGATTAGTTGAAGAGCAAGATGGAGGACCTGCTTGGATTCAGATGATGGATCGTTCTACCCCAAATATGTCCTATCAGGCTTGGCGTAGAGATCCCGAGGTAGATTTCTCTCTCCTGGCCTTATAGTATGTGTAATGATAGGAGGGATTTAATTATTTTGCACTTTCCCTTAATTGGATTACATTTTAATGTCATGCTAGACTGGACCTCCACAATATCGTAGCAGAACTGTATATGAGGATGCCACTCCAGAAATGTTGAGGGATTTCTTCTGGGATGATGAATTTCGATTGAAGTGGGATGACATGCTTATACATGCTGAAACATTGGAAGAGTGTCCTACCACTGGAACCATGGTGGTTCAATGGGTGCGTAAGGTATTATAGTGCTCTGTCTTCACTTGTGCATACTCTTGGATTGCCTAATTGAAGTATGACTAACCAAAATCATTCTGGTCCAGTTTCCCTTCTTTTGCAGTGATAGAGAGTACATTATAGGCCGTCGAATTTGGGAGTCAGGGCGGACATACTACTGCGTCACAAAGGTAAGAGAATGAAGGCTTGTCATAAGTGCACAAGTAGTATGTGCCAATTGTGGATGTCAAACAAGTGTACACTTCGCTATCATAAATAATGTTTTTCAACATGGCATGCCATGTGTTATCTAACTTGATATCTCTTATATGAGTGAAAGCCAGATAATCAGAGATAGAAATTGACGAATAAAATTTAAGGGTGTCATACTTTTAGACATTGTAGATTAGTTGTGAACCTGATGAGCTAATTTACATTTTTATTATCTGAGTAGAACTCAAAGAAGTGGAGTTAGTTGTACCAAACCAGCTTAAGAGGGTCCTCCTCTTTCAGATGTGTTTCTTTTGCACTTAGTATATTAGTTGTGAACTGAAGGGTGATAAGCTAAGATATGTTTTCTGTTATCTAAGTAGAGTACAGAGAAATTGGAGTACAAGTATTCAAGTCAAATTGAAGAGAGTGCAGTAACTTCTTGTCAAACCATTTTCCTCCCCTGCTTTTGGCATCTCTTTTTTTTTTTGAGATTTTTGGAATAGACTATGCTGTGCATGTGTTAATTTGTACTCATTAACGGTCAGAAAGGCAAAAATGGATTTGATGTGTGTTCCCTTCAAAAGTAGCAGTGAACAAGACTGCAGCGAGCAGTCTAAGGCTTCATTACCCTAGTAACTTATGGAGATACATGAATGAACCTTCTCCCTCAATGAAACTTTCTTCATCCTAGTCACGTCCCATAGTCGTCCATGGGGGCTGTGTGAAATACTTAAATAGGGATTCTCTGGTGATGATGAGGAATCACTCAATACCTTGTATATATTGCACACAAGCCCTATTCCTTCCTACCTTCATGGTTATCATCAGGATCTAACAAATAAATTGTTTATATGATCTACCAATGTTTATCTCAACCAGCCATTTCATACTACTTATGGTGACCATCTGAGTCGAGCCTCCGCTCTTAGATTACTATCTTCAAAGTCAAGCCTTCTCTAAGGTACTTACTATTAGTTGACTGGAGTTGGATATTTCCTGTCAGATTTGCATTTGAATAGTTAAGATACTTCATAACTAGCATTCAAAGGAGGAATGTTTACCTGTAGAAGAGGGGAAGACCCAAGATTAAATTGCAGGTATCCTAGTGGGAGAACCTACCTCATGTTTTTCATTGTCTGTGTCTACGTATGTGTCGTGTTACTTCAATAGAATAAAATATCAAAACTGGGTTGACCTGATATTGGTCGACACCTGACGGTGCTTCCTGTTTTATTTTTTTTAGCTGCCTTCACTCACTTTATACTCTCCAATGTTACATCATTTTGCTTAAATCTTGAATAATCTTGATTTTTACATTGTTCAGAGTGTACCATGCTCTTCTGTGCTCCGTCGCAACAAACCAAGACGTGTTGATCTCTACTATTCAAGTTGGTTCATCCGCGCAGGTAATTTGAAGTGATATTGCTAGCTTGATTGCTCAACTTCCAATAAAATTATGGAATTTACTGAACCAATTATGACGATCAACCATCAAATGTAGTTGTCCTATGGATCATGATAGGAAATGTTAGTATTAAGACTGAAACTGGAGATGTTACATTTCAATCACTGAGAAGAGTTATTTTATGACTAGACATCTAAATTGCCTTTTAATTTCTTTTGCATGAACAGCTGAATCCAAGAGAGATGGTCGGATGACTGCCTGTGAAGTATTACTATTTCATTATGAAGACATGGGTATACCTTGGGAAATTGCAAAACTCGGGGTAAGGCAAGGTATGTGGGGAGCTGTGAGGAAGATTGACCCTGGTTTACGTGCATACCAGAAACATAGAGCGTCTGGAGACCCAATTTCACGATGTGCTTTCATGGCGCAAGTCAACACCAAAGTTGATATTGAGAATCTCAGATCAATGGGGAGCGAAACCAATCTTTCTGAGATTGAGCCTGAGGATTCACCGGAGAAGCCTGCAGGGAGGAACATACCGAGGTTCTTAGTTGTTGGTGGGGCAATTGCCCTTGCTTGTAGTCTTGATCGTGGACTCCTGACAAAAGCAGTTATATTTGGAGTTGCTAGAAGGTTTGCAGGGATTGGGAAAAGGTTGTGAAACTGCTCTAGTATGTCGAGGCATTTTATATAAACATCATTTGACCCATACTTTGGCAGCAAGGTAAGGTAGCCACTGTGAAGAGTTAGGCGAGCTAGATCCTGTGAAGAGCTGCTAGAGTTGTATTATGTTGTCTTCCTTCTGTCGAGCTGCACTGTTCAAGAGAATCCAGATTATACTATACATGTATTCGTTGAAATTCTGGTGTCACTGAATATCTCATGCTTCAAATAAAAAGCAAAGCTGATTCTTTTATTAACTTTTTTGTCTTTCTATATTTTACAGTAGTTGTTCGAGGAAGTTGTTTTGTTTATTTATTTATTAATGGAGTGAGCATCTTCTTTTTCTCGAGCATTCTCTGAAACAAGTTTATGGCTCATAAATGGAATGGTGGCCGGCCTTTCTCACCAAATGTGTGGTGAGTTTGAGAATTGCGAGATTTCAAATTCAAATCCTAGCAGAGGCAAATATAGTAGGTGAATTAGTTGAAGATACCGGTAAAATGGGATGGCCTTTCCATTATATTGTTTGCCTCCCATCTGAAGTTACCGTGTCAAGTGCCGATATGATGGGCATGCCTCATATATGCTTGTATCAGGTCACCTAATCCTGGATATATTGGTCTACTCTGTTGAAGTGGAAGCTCTAATAAACTTTGAAGTAGCATTAAAAAAAATTGTTATGATCGTAGAATCACTTGAACTGTTTGCAATTTTATTTTCTAGTTGTGTAAATAATAGAAAGTTTTTAAAGGCGGGGGATATATACTATATAGTTGTTGCCTGAATCAAATGAGTGGAAGAAGTAAGAAAGAAAATTTAAATGAAATATGATGGAGAAATACATTGTCTTTGTTACGTATAAATAAATAAAGAAAAAGAAAAATCATTTGATTGCAATTAACCTTGGATATTTATTTGTGTTGGGTGAGAAGATGTTTCTTCTTGTGGTTGAAGGCTGACCTTTATCCTTATGCCCCAAGAATTCAGCACAAACCAGCCGGGAAATGAACCCAAAATGAGTAATTAATATGGGTATCCGCTCATATTTATCCATTTTAAATGGGTTGGATATCCAACTCATTTAAAAATGGGTTGGATATCCAACTCATTTAAAAATGGGTAAAAATGAATAATACTCATTTAAGAGCGGGTAGTTAAATGGATAAAAGATGTGCATTCACACAAACAAACAAAAATAGTGATAAAGGGTGGGATAGTAAGAAAGTCTTTTTTTAAAAAAAAAAAATGAAACTTGTTTTTACATTTTTTTGGGATAGGGGGTGGGGGTTTGGTAGGGGTAGGGGATGG